TCTTTCTTTCTTTCTTTCTTTCTTTCTTTCTTTCTTTCTTTCTTTCTTTCTTTCTTTCTTTCTTTCTTTCTTTCTTTTTTTGAGTCAGAGTCTCACTATGGCTCCCTAGGTAGAGTATCATGGTGTCATAGGTCACAGCAACCTCAAACTCTTGGGCTTAACCAATTCTCTTGCCTCAGCCTCCCAAGAAGCTGGGACTACAGGTGCCCACCACAATGCCTGGCTATTTTTTGTTGAAGTTGTCATTGTTAGGCAGGCCTGGGATGAGTTCAAACCCACCAGCTCTGATGTATGTGGCTGGCGGCCTAGCTGCTGAGCCATAGGCACTGAGGCAACTGAAACCTTTCAATGGAGATTGAAAGTCTTACTTGAACCTGTTTTATCTCTGTCCTTTTATCTCTGTCCCCAGATTTTCCCATCCTTATCCTCATCCCTGTCCTCAGGTACTACACCTTGAGGTAGGGATCCTTAGGGAGAGAAATATGTCTTTCTAGTGCTTCCTTTTAATGTATAATAGGCTTGGCCCAAGGAGTGAACTTAGAGGAGCTTCCAGAGGCTCTTGAGGGTCTGTCAACCTGAACATGTGCTGGCTGTATCAGGAAAGGTACTCCTACTGATCCCTGATATATTAAGGGGGAGGCTAAGAGCAAGGGATGTTGGGCTTAGAATGGGCTAGAAGTAGAGGGCTTTGAAATATTACCTGGAGAGAGAGAGATGACATTCACATCAGTCTCCAGCTCTGGTCACTGTGCTTACATCCCCAGCCTCTTATACCCACGGTCCTCTTGAGTATTTACATTGGTGGGGGTCAGAGGAGAAGAATAGGTTTTGGGGGCACATGAAACACTGCTATAAATAACTCAGGCGCCAAGAATTTGGAAAGCAGATTAGTGTCTAAGAGATTACTAGCTAAATGATTAGCAGGCTATTCCTGCTGGGACAGTAAGGTAGAAGGTTCATTCTGGTGATGTTAAAGGCAAGGGAGTTTGAGAAGGGGGACTATAGGGTTTGGGCCTTGTGAGGCCTTAAACCTGAAAAGTGGGATCAAAGTTGAAGCACTGTGGGAAATAGAAATGGGAGGGCTCAAAGTATAGGTCCTTGTGTTTCTGAAAGAAGAAACTTGTTCCAGGCTACATTAAAGCCAAAAGTCTGGGGGTAAATTACCTTTTCCTCAGCTGCCACACTTGGGGACTTTGGACTTTTTTTTTTATATTTGTCCCACTTTTAATAGAGATCAATTGCTATTTACATATAATTTCAAAATTATTCTTCAGTATTAAAATACATAAGTTAAAATAAGCATACTTCAAACTTTACTAGATACTAGGTATCTCAGAAAGGTGATTTTTTGAGAAATTTACATAGTAGTGACATGAAATAATACATAGTGCTCTGCTTTTTAAAAACTCTTCATTTTATATGTAATTGGACTTTGGACTCTTAAAGTCCATGTTTAGAAACCCTGATTATCCTAGCTTATGTGCAAAGTGGGAGTCAATCTCCTGTAAGCAGTGTGGGTACTTACACAATAGGAGGGGGAGGAGCTGAGTATTGAGCTGTGTGTGCACATATCTATGAGCCTTGAATTTCTTTTCTTGTTGAAGAGGAAGATAACAGGATTCCTGGCCCAGGAACAGGTGCTGGCAGGACATTGAATGTGGAGGGAATAGGTAATACCACCCCATCTAAGGTAACCTCCCCCGACTCAGGCCCCATCTCTTCAATCTCTGAAACTAAGTCCGTGCTCTAAGCAGCTTCCCTTGCCTCATATGACCACTTATGGAATTAGAGATATTTTTGTCCCTACAGCTGCCAGGATCCTTACAATGGCAATAACAAAGCAATCTTCCTTTCTTGACTGTCCTTCCCACAGAGCCCAGGCTCAGGCTTCAGGGGCATGGAGAAGGTAGAAACAGAATCTCCAGGCTTTGGAGATCTAGGACCCTGACCCCATCTACTTGCCCTTAGAACTACTGGTCATTAGTATTTATCTATAGACACAACCCTCAACTCAGCAATGAGGTGTCCAATTCCTCAGAGGATACCTATGACTGTGAGTCAAAGGAATGGTTGGGGCCTTCCCTAACTACTGCTCCTTACTGAAGGCCCTGACAGTGATCCTATATTCTCTTTGCATAGTTAACTGCCAGCCCCTGCCATTCTTGGGCAATAGGTGCCTCAGAGCCTTGTTTAGTTGCTATAACTCCCTCCTTCTCAGGAGTTTCCAGATAGAATGAAAAGCCAAGACTCTGTAAAGACCATAGTGGGATAGAAACTAATGCTGGATATATAAGAAAGAGTCATATACATGCCAAGAATATTGTCTGTGGAGAAGGTGAAAAGCTGTAATGAATCTACTTTGGACTGGTCTTTAGCCCATTTTTATCTTCAGACCCACACTTGGGGCTCCTGTCTCCCTTTCAGCATCTTCTTTTTTTTTTTTTTTGAGAAAGAGTCTCACCATGTTGCCCTCAGTAGAGTGCCATCTCATAGCTCACAGCAACCTCAAACTCTTGGGCTCAAGCGATTCTCCTGCCCCAACCTCCCAAGTAGCTGGGACCATAGGTGCCCACCACAATGCCTGGCTATTTCTTGTTGCAGTTGTCATTGCTGTCCAGCTGGCCCAGGCCAGCTTTGAACCCATCAGCCTCAGGGTATGTAGCTGGTGCCACCATAACCACTGTGCTACAGGTGCTGACCCCCCTTTTAGGTTCTTACTTATCCCCTCTGTCTATTCATGTCCACAGGCTTCTTAGATAGATCTATTAGTGTAGCTGGAAACTGACAGGCACCAGTTGATTAGAGGAAGCGGGTTTATTTGGCCGGGAGTACTCAGAACACCAGCGTGTTTCCCAAAACTGAGCCCCCGACTCAATCTCTTGCCTCTCTTTTATCCACTTTTCAGGGCAGGAGTGCACGTGAGGGTCATAAAACAGAGAGAGACATGACATCATCCTCAAGGTCCCAGGCTCAAGGGGGACGGTCAGATTCACCTGTGTCCTTGAGACTGTTTGGACCACCTGCCCTCAGAGGCAACAGAAACCCAGAGAAATTACTAGGTTACAATCTAGGCCCCGCTTATGTCAAGGAAGAAACATACAGACAACAGAAACGCCTGCAGCTTGGCTGAGGCCTACACAGGGCAGCTAGGACAGATTCTTTTAGTTCTGCTTTTACTTTCTTGCCTCACTAGGTCTTTAATTCATTATTTAATTATTATTGAATTCATTATTATGATTGAAATTCTTCAGAAGTGTATGCATTTTTTTTCACTTTACAAATAATAAAATGTACAAATATTAAGTGCAGTTTAATGAATTTTTACCTACTGTGGCAAGCTGAATAATGAGCCCTAAAGATGTCAGTTCTTAGTTGTTGGAAACTGTGAATGTTACCTTATATGCAATAGGGACTTTGGAGATGTAATTAAATTGAGGATCTTGAAATGGGGAGATTATTCTGGATTATCCAGGTAGGCCTTAAATTGTAATCACTAGTTTCTTTATGAGAGAGACAGAGAGAGAGATTTAACTATAAAGATAGAAGGCAATATGAGGACTAAAACCAGAGGCTCCTTTGGTGGTTTTGAAGATAGAAGAAGGGGCCAGCAGTCAAGGAATGTAAGGAATGCAGCTCTAAAAGCTCAGAAAAGAGGAAGAAATGGATTCTGTCTCATAATTTTCTCATAGTCACAGGTGGCTGTTGTAAGGCAGGCATGGCCCTGCTGATATCTTGATTTGGGCCCATCAATACTGATTTTGGACTTCGGACCTCCAGAACTGTAAGAGCATAAATGTTTATTAGTTTAAGCCACCAAGTCTGTGGTAATTTGTTACAATGTCCATAGTAAGCTAATACACTTGTGTAAATACACATGTAACTACCAAAGAGATCAAGACACAGAACATTTCCATTTCCTAAGAACATTTTCATATACTCCTTTCCAGTTAGTAGTTTTCCAAAGAGAACTATCACCATAGTTTTAGTGTGACCAGGAACACTTGTGTGTTACAAGGATGCTAGAGTAAGAAGGCAAAAGAATGCATCTTGAATTATGGAGTTTATGGCCCCTATAATAGATTGGTAAGAAAAATATTTTCAGGTCCTTACCCACGCTCCTTCTATAGTTCCCAATAATATTCCTAACTAAGCCTTCTAGTTAGGAAGTGATGATCAGGTTT